GGGGTTAGGCCGCCCTTAGAATGAAAAATTAATGCTCTGTTATTATAGGGGTAAACGATTTTACGATAATACCAACCTTCTTCGCGTTATTGGCAAGAAATCGCGGCGAAACGGTCATTTTCGCGGAAAATTGAGATATTTTGACATTTTAAGCCCCCCCATTTTGGGGGACCGCGGGTCCTGGTCAAAGTCACTTAAGACTTTTCTAGACCAGAATTTCACGAGCTTTCAGAATGGTTATGTGAAGTTTTGCCCTAAAATCAAGTCTTTTCGGGTAAAAGTGGGATTAAAATTCGCGGAAAAGTCGGAATTCTGAGCAATTTTGGGGGGTTTAGGGGGGGCCTACTCCCCCCCACCACGATAAAATTTGCGTAGACAAGGAAAATCTTATTCTACTAGTTGAGAGCTTCAAGAAAATCACCATCTTCAAAATTCCCACGGGGGGGGGGGGGAAGGCCTACCCCTTGCTGGCCCACGGTCTACATGTCATACGATCGCGTGAATATGTAGTGCATTGTGCGTAATGTTAGACTACCTGCAATTGGATTGCATTTTGCAAAAAAGGAACCACTAGCATTGCAATGTTGCTAAGATTGTGCAACTTCTTTTGTCTTCGAGGAAAAACCCGATTATCCATTCATAGTTTCTATTTAACTCGCTAAAAGCTGTTCTAAGACAAAAATTACCATCTAAATTTCATAGTTTTTCACGATTTCCGCAATTTCATTGCAAAAGATGAAGTTGCACAATCTTAGCATCATTGCAATGCTAGTGGTTCCTTTTTGCAAAATGCAATCCATTTTGCAATCTGCAATTTCAAATCATGTTTTCAAATGTAAGCTGGTGGGAGCGTTGTCTTTTCCGAGATTTTACCCAGGTACATTGACGAAGCATATTGATCTCAAGATCAAGATTGCTAATGTCACCACAACTAGATATTTAAGGAGATGGCGTACTGCGCACTTCCGCCATTGTATTAAAAGAGCTAAATGTCAAAGTGTGTGGTCGAAGCTTCCGACAGAGATGCTCGTCTAAAAAAATTTAGGGGTACACACCTAGACACAGTTTAGAGGTGTCGCTTGCTAGCCAGCAGTGAGTACTAGTATTAGTTCGTGTTTATAATTTCAAAATGTGTATTTATTGCTTAGCCATATCAACAACAATGGATAGAAAGGCTATGCGTATGTTAATCGCTATGCAAACCGAGGCCAATACTCAAGAGCAAAAAGACCAAGAGAGCAAAGAAATCAGGGAAAAGGTGAGCATCTACTTAATAGAACGTTGAAATCGCATGAAAGATGAAAATAGACAAAATTGTGTGCTATGAAAGTATAGATTGGAATACCTGGGGCCACATTTAGCATACCTCTCTTAAACCTGTTGAACCGATAAGCCATGGGGCAAATCTACGAAAAGTGGCCAATTCCAGTCATGAACATTTTATTTGTAAAATGTGTTATAGGAACATCTCGCATGTCACCTATTCTGACGGCAAATAAGTGTTTTAAACGAATTATGACAGTTAAAATTGTGTAAGTCAATGTATTAAGCTTCATTTTCAGCTTTTAAATTTCACGATGGTCAAGGTCATTATTGGTAGGTTGCAATGTTTACAGCCTCATAACCTTTTTTTTGTCTGATATTTTCTGATTTTCGCTAATTTCATTAAAAATACTTGTAGTTGAATGAACAATGTATTTGATTTAACAAAAAAAAAAAAACATATATACGTGTTTTTGTTTGCCAAAATGGCCGCTAAAACACGTTTCATTTCTTTGAATGAAGTGTTCACATCAAAATATGACCGTACAGCAGTCACTACCAAAATTTATTAGAAGATTACGGAAGGATTTAAAAGGCGAACTGACTCCATGGAACTTTTTTGGAACCTAAACCTTAATATTTTCAAAATTAAAATTGATAAACTGAAACATTCCACAATATCTGGTTTCTATGTTTTTCATACGAACTCTTGCAAGAGAGAAGAATCTAGGATCATGCCCGCATCTAGACACTGTGTGAAATTTTGTTAAAGGAACTCTCCGTTTCATTCCAGCTTTTCGAAATGCAGAGATACAAAGATTCACTCAGAGTAGGCACCTATCTGAGTAGGCCAGAGCAAGTTGATACGATTGAAATAGTGAAAAAAATGGTACAAGAAAACAAAAAAGTCTTCATACCAAAGTAAGTCTTTGCGCTGCAGGTCAATAAAACCTTGATACTCTGTAAACGCGTAGAGCAGTTTCATGAGCTGCAATTTCCATAAATAATTTACTCAAACGAAATATAATTTTTGAATAGATCTTCTAGAGCGGGGAATATCAATAATGTTGATAGGCAGTTAAAAGAACATCGGATTGCAAATGTATCTTGAAATCCTAGAATTTAAGACTTAGGACCGTATTCAATGTCATTATATAAAAACTCCTTACTTTAGAGGGCCCCATTTGCTTGACACGGTGATAAAGGGAGGTTTAAAGGGGTTTTCAGCATAGGATTAAAGAGGGACAATTTTGACCATCACCAGCATAACTTTGGTAATAGACACTATCAAATGGTTATGATGATTTGCTTCTATAAAAAATGAAAAATTAGCACGATAGAAAAGATTTTCGGGAGGTAACCGATTTTCAGTCATTATTTAAATCATAATTATTTTTTTTTTATTTTTAGGCAAATAACTAATGACGATATAGATATGGTGCTGTATGATGGAAAGACCGATTTAAACGAGCTCCATCTGAACACTAGCGCATTTAAACCGCCGGACGTATGTGATCCACAGCAAAGTGCCCTGGAAACTGGTTAGTTGTCGTGTGTCATCAACTAACTGAACCGATCAAACAACTGCCATCGACCTTAGGCCTTGTCTCCACGGGACGTTTTCATGGGATTTGTCCCAAGTTCGAATCGCAGGAATGAAACTTCTGGGATTTTTCCCAGTTACCGTCTCCACGGGACGGGGCTCATACAGTCCTGCGACTAGTTTTCGCGGGAAGATAAATTGGTTAAAGTCGAGTATTTAACCGGGATTAAAATAATAATTGCACTCAATTGACAATTAGACACACTATTTTAACTAAACAAACATGAACAATGTAGTAATGAATAAAATATCGCACAATTCGTTTTCACTTCTTCCTCTTCTCTCAGTAGGTCCTAGGGGTACAAGTACCATACTTGGTACTGGGAAAAATATTGATTAACTCAATATTTTTCCCAACTTCGTAAGTGGGATTTTTCCCTGGGACAAATCTCGTGAAACGGCTCGTGGAGACAAGGCCTTACACGCCATGTATATTATTTTATTTACTGTGTGTCTCAGGTGGTCTGGATTTGCTACTCACACCTGGATTCGCATTTACTGAGACTGGTTGCCGACTTGGTGATCGGGGCGCAATTTTTGAAAAGTACGTCATGAGACTCCGAAAACTGTGTCCCAATACTACAGTCATTGGATTGGCATGGAAGCACCAAATTGTCGACGCTATTCCTCAGTTCAACGAGGACATGCAGCGTCCGGACATAACAGTTGACATTGTTTTGCATGCGCATGAAGAGAATTTGGATCGGGGATTTGAAAGGTCCCGTGCACCAAGGAATTATAGTAGATAGAAATTATAAGGTTCACGATGAAATAATAATAAGTGAAATCGGGTTACACGAGTTTTCCACCCCGATTCACTCATCCCACCCCGGGAAATCCAAACCAAACCAATCGAACCTTTTGATACGATATTAATGCAGATATTGTCAAAATTGGACCGCGTTTAACAGAAAGGAACCAAGCCACATCAGCTATTGCCAATTTTAACTGGGCAATTTAATTTTTTACGAGAAAACGTTTGTGCGGATCCCTTTGAAAATGCTACGGAATATGCTTCGTGCTATGGAGAAAATTCACTGAAATTTGCACGAAAATCCGCACAACTGTTTTCATGTATAAAATTTGATTAGCCGATTAAATTTAGCAATAGCTGATGTGGCGTGGTTCCTTTCTGTTTAACGCGGTCCAATTCTGACAATATCTGCTGGGGCAACTAGGTCTTCCTGATATTCCCGTCACCGAAAATAATGTTGATGCAGATATTGTCGTCAGTCCATAGTATTTGCTCATTATTTATTTCTCGCCCTACACTTAGAAACAACTCAACATACGTGGCAAATGATTGACTAGAAGTAGCACCCATGACTTGCTACCATAATGGAGATGTTGCATGTGTGAGGGATTTGCAATTTGACAGTTGTTTCTTATGAAAAAGTTCGCCACTGGTATGGTGCCACTGGTTTTCTCTGAAATCATCTCCCAAGGTCAAAAAAGCTCTCAAAGTGAGGCCAAAATGGAGGGGATATCCCACGCTATCCTGAGAGTCCACCCCTACATCAAGACAAACTCTCCATTCAAAGATAGGGAGCAAATACATTGACAGGGCTGCCACTTCATTTGGGGACTCCAAAACTGAAAACACGACAACCCTGCTAATGTATTTGCTTCCTATCTTTGCATGGAGAGTTTGTTTTGATGCGGAGGTGGACTCTCAGGGTAGGGCGGGATATCCCCTCCATTTGGGCCTCACTTTGAGAGCTTTTTTTGTGCTTGGGAGATGATTTCAGAGAAAACCAGTTGCACCATCGTGTTTCTCGCGAACTTTTACATAAGAATTAACAGTCAAATCGCAAATCCCTCACACATAGTCCAGTAAACGAAGGGAAAAAAGAGGGGGTTTGATGAACAAATTAGTAACAAGCTAATTTTTTCCCCCATTGATAGTACCCATTGAGAGGACCATTTTCCCAAAAGTCCCCATTCCTACCCCCCTAGGGATTTTTGCTAGCCCCCCTCAAAGTTGAAAAATCCCCCTCCGATTCAAAGCGCTATAACTCAGACCCTAATGTAGCTAGACACCTCTAATTTTTTTTTAAAATGTCCGTCTTGATGTGCTCTTTAAGATATTTTTAATAATCATGCAAATTTTTCCACGGAAAGCTGAAAATTTTGAAAAAATTCGCAAATTTTTAGAAATCGAATTGCCTCTTTTTCACAAAGAGCGTGATAACTTTTTTCTAACTGCAACTATGAACTTTTTGTTTATTAGAAACTTTGTAGGGAACACAATTTCCTTTCAATTGGTCCTCTTGAAGTAAGGATTCGGACAATGAGTGGGGTGGGAGAGGAGCCGAAACATGACGCAGTGCGATGCCGCGCGGCGCCGTGCCGCACCCAGCGCTGAGCGGTACGCCTGGCGACCAGAGGGGCTGGCGATCGTCTTGATAGTCACATACTAAGTTGACTTCAATCGACATCGTTATATTTTTTCTGAGCATATGCTGTGACTTGTGACAAATATTTTGCCGTACTTAGGAAGAAAGCCTCATGAAAGTTCGAATGTTGCCGAATTTTCTCTTATACGATATTTTTCTATATACCTACGTAAAATTATGAATATTTTTTCAATAGGTACCCTATCAGACACCGTAAACAAAACTGTGTATTCGATTCCCTGAAAATACGCAAGAAAACTGCTCACAAGTTTGCCGGAAAATTCTTATTATATCAGAGGAAATTGGGCAACGTCCGAATGTTCATACGGCGTTCTTTCTTGGCATGGCAGTATTGCGTCGCTTCATTTGACTATGAACGGATTAAGATGGTGGCCGAAGCATCATCCTTAAAAACACGACATCTCGATGAAAAGACGGTGCCGAGCATTTTGTTCAGCATGCCGCTTTCACCACGCTTCCCAGGAAAAATGAATGGAAATATCCTATAGACAAAGTGCCGACCAGCGGTCAAGTTCCGAATCTGAGGGTAGGAACCAGGATGGCTCCAGGAGTCGGAGGATGTATTGTACACGGAGAAAAAAATCTCGTGCGTGGGACCCGAAGTTTAGGTCATATGGATCTCTGAAGTTTTCGGATTGAGCATCTGAACACTTAAGGTCTAGCTGCCGAAGTTCAGGTCTGACATCTGAAACTTCAGTTCTTACATCTGAAGTACTTCGGTTTTCACATCCGAAAAATTTCGGTTCTCACATCTGAAGTACTTCAGATGTAAGAACTGAAGTTTTAGATGCCAGACCTGAATTTCGGCAGCTAGACCTTGTGCTTGTGATGTGTTCAGATGCTCATTCCGAAAACTTCAGAGATCCATATGACCTAAACTTCGGGTCCCACGTACGAAATTTTTTTCTCCGTGTATGAGGCGCTTACTGAAAATGACCGCGGTGGAAGGGTTCATTCTCTCTTTATGCTGCAAGAGTGTGTGAGAAAATGCGGAAAAGATGGCCGAAACTTGCTACTTACGGAGATTGTCAATATGTACGTATCTTGTGCTCTTAAGCGATACACTAAGCATTCATCTTTTGTTTTCGACGGTTAGGTATCCTGCTTATTCAACCACAAAAGGTCAAGAAAAATTAGGAAGAGCAAAAAAAAAAAAAACATCAGCCACAATAAATTTCACTTTAGCAATGCAATGTAGGTACGAAAACGCAGGCTGAATTTCTCTCAAATTCACAAAATAAGAAAAAGCTCATTGCAGCTGTCAGTGAGGAGTTGAGAAAAGTTGGTGTCGAGGTGTTTATTGCAGAGGCCGATGCATCGGGATATTGTCTCGTCTGCCATTTTGAAAGCTGAGGGAGGAGAAACATTTGTTATGGTAAGGACGGACACTGATCTTATGGTTATAATGTTAACATTAATCAAGAGAAGGAAACTTAAATATTTTTCAAAATTCCTGGAACTTCAAAAAATCCTGGTACTCTGTATAATATCGTGAAACTAGTCGACGATTTTAAGCAAACTAGTTCTTTACTTCTTTTCGCTTATGCAACGACAGGACGCGACACCACCTCCGCTCTTTTCAGGACAAGTAAAATAAAAGCATACAACCTCCCAGTTAATGATTCTTCTTTACAAAAAGATGTTCTAATTTTTAATGAGTCGAATGTTGATAAGGAAAGAATAGGCACAGTAGGCGAAAAATATTTAATTCATTTTTATGGGGGAGCCAACCTAACTCAAATTTTAGATGAGTGCCGCTTCATAATGTATTTAAGAATAGTTGCTAAAATGTCCTTAAAATCTAAATTTGAGATGGTGACTCTTCCACCAACATCATTAGCGGCGAAACAGCATAGCTTTAGAGTTTACTATAAAATTCAAGTTTGGCTTGGAAATAGTTCTCTCGACCCGAGAGAGTGGGGATGGAGGGAAGAAGAGGTAAGCGATGAAAGAAAATTTCTATTACCTATTCATTCTACCTTAAATTTTGCGCCTGATGATGTTATATAGATGACCTCCTGTAACTGTAAGTCTGGTTGCGGCACAAACTGTAAATGTTTTAAAGAAGGGCTCTGTTGTTCAGGTATGTGTCGTAATTGTAGTGGCGGAACATGTAAAAATATATTACCAGCCGTCGAAGAATTTGAAGAGGACCATCTATAGGTTTTTGCCCGAAATAGTTTTAAGTATCGTCTTGAACTTGCCAACAGCTAACTTTATGTGTCCATTTTCGTTATTTTATGTCATTATTGTTTTGTTACTGATAATTTTTACGATGATTGCTTTTATTTGCTGTTCAATTAATTTTAACCTGAAAATTAATGAATGCCATCAATTATAGAGTACATCGCTGAAAAGGTGACATTTTTGTAATACCCATGTAGGCATTTTCTTTCGTATTAAATATTTGTTTTTGCTCTAATTTTTCGTAGAGCTGTGTGTTCTTTCATAAGTAAAACTATTAGGTAATTAAAGATATCCATAGATTTCCACCTCAATCTAATTCTATACTCATTTATTCCTCTTATTCAGTCATATTTACTACTAACTAAATTTCAAAATGTTTCACTCTCAAAAAAATAAATAAAAAAAGGAAGGAAGCGAAAACGCGTCCAAGTGGAAACAGCTTCATTCAAATATAATGTAATTATTTATAGCCAAACATATTGAAAAATTTATGGTTTTGAAAGATAAAATTTATTGGCAGTTCACAAGAATGTTGCTCTCTTAGAATTGAAGAAAAAAAAATTCTAGGAGTGGGCTTTTTGAGAAACATGCCGCCATGAAGCATTGAGTTGGGGCGGTTCTATGTGAGCGCCGCGTGTTATTATACACTGCGCTGCGCCGCGCTCTGCCGGACTTCCACCCCCCTCTCATCCTCACCCTTTGCTCCTACCTTAACTTCCAATACACCATTTGATAGGAAATTGCGTCCTCTAAAAATTTTCATATAAGTATAAATTCCATTTTTTAATCGATAACGGAGTTATTCCGATTTATTTAAAAAAAAATAATTCCATTTCATAAATTTTGAATTTGTTTTAAAATTTTCTTAACGATCTCTTGATAAATTTTGATGACCAATGGTTTCATTTTAACGTACGTATCAATACGAACAATTTAAAAAAAAATTGAGGTGTCTAACTATAATAGGAGCCAAGTTACAGCAGTTTAATTGGAAGGGGGGATTTTTCAACTTTGAGGGGGGCTAGCAAAAATCCCTAGGGGGCTAGGAATGGGGACTTTTGTGAAAATACGCCCCACAGTGGGTATAATCAGTGGTAAAAATTTCAGCTTGTTACTAATTTGTTCCGCATAAATCCCTTCGTTTACTGGACTAACATGCAACATCTCCATTAGGGAGAGCAAAAAAATACCTAATTTCAACGAAACAAAATTTCCATCGACGTATATTCATAAGTTTGCAACTCCAATTTCTACATATCGCATGGTTAAAGTATTTCAAAAGCGAGTTATTTTATGCGCAATTTAGGAGATAATGATATAGCTACGCCTTTTTAAATGTTAAGATGTTGTGTTCAAAAATATGAAAGATAATTCACATATGAAGCTTAACAATTTTTCTCTCACATTTCCTCGCAGTTATCTAAGAATACTCAGGCCTTGTCTCCACGGGACGTTTTCATGGGATTTGTCCCAAGTTCGAATCGCAGGAATGAAACTTCTGGGATTTTTCCCAGTTACCGTTTCCACGGGACGGGGCTCATACAGTCCTGCGACTAGTTTGCGCGGGAAGATAAATTAGTTAAAATCGAGTATTTAACCGGGATTAAAATAATAATTGCACTCAATTGACAATTAGACACATTATTTGGACGTATTTCTGTCAAACGGAACTAAGCGCCAATTTGAGTTTCTTTTGAGGAATTTAGAATGGCAGATATCGCGTTCCGTCAAACGGAACTAAGCGCCATGGAAAAGCATTGCGAGTATAGGAACGAATGAGCCCGACGCCCGATTCCGCCGCCAATCCAAGCCCCCTTCTACCTTCCTATCCCGATGGCGCTTAGTTCCGTTTGATAGAAATACTTCCATTTTAACTAAACAAACATTAAAAATGTAGTAATGAATAAAATATCGCTCAATTCGTTTTCACTTCTTCTTCTTCTCTCATTGACAGTGGATCCTAGGGGTACAAGTACCATACTTGGTACAGAGAAAAATATTGATTAACTCAATATTTTTACCAACTTCGAAAGTGGGATTTTTCCCTGGGACAAATCTCGTGAAACGGCTCGTGGAGACAAGGCCTTAAATAAATCTAATACCAAAGTTTCAATAATATTTTCATTTTTCAAGATTCACAAACTTTTGCTTGCTTTTCTCTTACTCCAAAATTGTCGCACTCTTCGACTTTTCCTAGCCTCCGAACAAAATTTCCACAAAAATGTATTTCCCTTTCATGCACGGTAGCTGCTGCTAAACGCTGCTCGAAAAATTCCCTGACTTTTCTTATGAATATCCCGACTTCCCTTGACTCTTCCTAAATAAGTACCCAGACTTTCAGTGGCGTGGTGTAGGTGATCGATTATAGATATTTCCCCATTTGAAGCTTCGGTAAAGAATCTGTTAATAAGGTGTTCGTTGCAAACACCCTGTATATCGATCCTTTTTCATGGGTTTAAATCGCAGATCTATCGATGTATCGCAAAGCAAGCTTGCCACTGCTGACTTTCCATGACTTTTTCCGGTTGCAATAACTGCCATGACTTTCCTTGACTTTTCAGGTTTTCCGGACCGCCGGAAACATCGTGATACACCCACCATATAAAAATACGTAGAAACATGTCCTAATTTTGATGAATTTTAAAAATATTTCAGAATGTTTAAGCTGTTAACAGTGTTTTCATTGAAATTCATTTAAACTAAATTATATTTGTTAAAATGGACAACTGCGGAATATTATCGTCATTATGATACTTTCGGGTTTGACACTTGTACTTCTTTGTCATTTGTACTTCTACCTCTCTCAAAATTCTGTCTTAAAACTTCATTCAATCGTCTATGCTTGATCATTAGTTTATCTATCGATGTAATCAAACGTCAGTGGCTTCAGTAAGCCCGGTTCCCTGCTGTTGTCACATTTGACTCCGCGTCACCAATTTAATGCATCATTTTCATGGGCAAAAGGGAACTCTTGTTATTGGTTCATTTCAAAAACGACATGAGTGCCGTTTGAGGGGAATTATTTTTTCGAGGGGTAAGCCAGAAATAGTGGTTCCTCAGTGCGGTACAAATCATAAATTCAGAGTGGCGGGCGAGAGAAGATATGCGCGAGGGTGTGACGTGAATTGTTGATCTGTTTCTGAGTTTAAGTACAGCTTGAGGCTCAGTCGAAGTGAGAAAATAATTTTATTTTTTTTGTTGAGATTGTTAACATTATCTTTAACGCGGTAAATAAAGTTCCATTTCTTTCGCGATCATACTTACTTCAATGCATATACAATAATTTTCGAACTGAAAAATTGCAGCAAACGAAGGTGAAAATGCTTTAAGTTCTATGGACTCAATCTAGTTCCAATCTTCAGTGGAAAAAAAAATAGTGTGCAAGTTTTTTTTTAGATTTTATTGAATGGGATATTTCAACTGGGTGCATGAAGGATCATGCAGAAAGGAACAATTGTAACGCGTGATGAATTGTGAAAGAACTGGTGACGTAATGCTCGAGAGTACCTTTCTGCGCCTCCGTCTTAAATAGTTGAAACCATGAAAGTGCTAACTGTTATGATCATTTACATACACGTCGTTTTTAAAGGTTTGTTTATTTATTTTCTTTCGCATGTTACTTATTGTTAGTCTGATTTATTTCAATTCCATGCTTCGGATTTCAGCATTTACCAAGAATAGCAAAGACCCGCATATATTTGCGGAATAGATAAAGATATTTGTGATGAAATCTAAGTAGCTGAATTCATGGATCACTGAAAGTCACAAGGGAGAGCCAGTCATACTGTTTCATTAACAATTAAAGAGCGAAACCGGCCGCATAATTATTCATCTTGCCAACAGCATAGTGAACTTTTTCGTCCACGGTGAAATTATACGCACGTTATCGGAAGATTTTATTTCAAGATGTTGAAATTGCAAAGAAGTAAAATATGGTCGATCTGAATTATCATTGTAGATCATTTTTATGTTACCATTTAGGTCAGCCTTCTGCCAACATATTACCGTCTGGAAATTCAAACTACATCACCGGGGGAGAGGGGGGGGGGGGGGGGCACGGGGTTGTTGGATGATATGGACATTTCCAATTCATTATGGTGGCACCCAAATAAAATAGGTTAATGATCAAAATGTTGCGGTACTCCCCCAACTGAAGATGCGGTAGGTAAGGTAATACCACAATTAAATGGTAAAATCCACATCATCCAACAAATTGTGACAGTACCACAATTTTAGAGCATGACCCTTGGCACTCTTTTCCCGTGTTTTTTTATGACAAAAGGACACATCAATCGTGAATGAAAACTACTTTAAATTCACTCTAAATCCTAGGTGCTGTGCATTTTTTATGTTTCTCCTTCAATTCTAGGAGTTGCAAGTATGGATACACGACTATATTGATACTTAGGTAAAAATTTGGGGGTACATATACGTAGTAAATCGATGATCGAGCTAGACATATTGTCTCTATCACTTACAAAGTTCTTTTGCACGAGAGGCATGAATTTTAGGCCTGAAATTGTGCTAAATTCTGCAAAATTCGAGCTTAATTTTTACAAGCGATTCTGACACAATACATGCAACTATTGACAGGTATGAATAGACCGTGTGAAGCAGGAAGGAACCAAACCACATCAAGTACTGCCAAATTTAATTGGGCAATTACATTTATTACATGATAACGGTTGTGCGGATTTTTGTGCAAATTTCAGTAAATTTTTGGGATGGAACAAAGAAAATTCCTTGACATTTTCAAAGAAATCCGCACAAACGACTTACCGTAAAAAATTAAATAGCCAAATTAAATTTGGCAGTAGTTGATGTAGCTTGCTTCCTTTCTGCTAAACGCGGTCCAAATGAAAGGGGCCGAAGTTCAGAATCGCTTTTCCCCCTTATTCAACTTACTAAAAACGTAATTAAGTTAGACGGGGGTGTTATAGGGTTGGAAATGCAGTAATTTTTTTTCAAATTTCAAAGTTTGTCCTCCGTTTGCCCTTCCCATATCTAGCTGGATCCATCACTCACTACTCCTCACAAAAATTTGACGAAAATACCACGGAAACGGAGCGACTTTATTCTTGTGAGTTTTTGTTTCAGCCCAGTCTGGTAGAATATCAACAGAAAGGCTGAGAATTATGGCCGAGTTGGATTGCAAGTTGGAAAAAATGAGTAAAGTGGAAAAGTTTTTTGAAAATCAATCTATTCGGAAACAGGTTAGTCGAGAAAACAAACGCTGAATGTCCGAATGAAAAGTTGACGAATATTAACCGACCTCTCACAAGAGTTTCATTTAAGTGATTAGCTGCATGGAAAAACCAGAGGTATATATCGACGGTATAAGTCCGGTAGATTAGACTCACTGGGCACACAAGGCTGAGAATCATGGCCGAGTTGGATTGCAATTTGGAAAAAATGAGTAAAGTGGAAAAGTTTTTTGAAAATCAATCTATTCGGAAACAGGTTAGTCGAGAAAACAAACGCTGAATGTCCGAATGAAAAGTTGACGAATATTAACCGACCTCTCACAAGAGTTTCATTTAAGTGATTAGCTGCATGGAAAAACCAGAAGTATATATCGACGGTGTAAGTCCGGTAGATTAGACTCACTGGGCACACAAGGCTGAGAATCATGGCCGAGTTGGATTGCAATTTAGAAAAAATGAGTAAAGTGGAAAAGTATTTTGAAAATCAATCTATTCGGAAACAGGTTAGTCGAGAAAACAAACGCTGAATGTCCGAATGAAAAGTTGACGAATATTAACCGACCTCTCACAAGAGTTTCATTTAAGTGATTAGCTGCATGGAAAA